TTTTTTTTTTTTCAGACAAATATTGCTTTTTTTTGAACAGTGAAATCTTGATTCATTATCTATGTTTTTGTGCTTTATAAATTATTCTACACTCACAACAGATCAAAGCTACGGATACAGGCCACTTTAATGCAAAATCTTTTCGAAAATGTACACACAGTGAGAGAGAAGGAAGCCACTTGGAGTGGACGGCTTCCCTGTGCATTTTTTCTGTCCCTGCCCTCCGGAATTCCTCTCCCACAGCCCATCATAATGATGCCATACTCCATTCACCAAAACAGCCCCTCTGTAGTGCCCTCTACTCCAAAATGTCAATCCAAAAAGAAGGTACCTGTTTAGTAAAAGTGAAATATTAAAATGATTGTTAAAAGTTATTTAATTTTTATGGTGCTCTGTAAAAACTTAAATGAACTTAGGCTACATTTTACTAAAAAAAAAAAATAAATGTAAGACTCACCTTTCGTGTGAGAGTTCCACATAGTCTGGTAGCTGGCTGCTTTAAGAAATAAGCGTTGACAGGCCAAACACGACTCATGTGAAACGTGAACTTGAGAGTCTGCTTGAACAGTGGTTCTATTTCTTTTTCTCTCTTGCGCGAAGGTTACTAGCACTACACAGTGCATGACTTGTAGCATTCTAAACTTTGACTCAGTAAATCTTGTTTTTGCCGCACTAAGTCTTATATTTAGAGGTCATGAAGCAGGTTTGTTACGGCGTGCATACTGAGTAATCATTTCCTGTAGTTTATGCTTCTGTAGGTGATCCTGATAGGATTTGATTTCAGATGCAGTTGTAAAGTGTTTAAATTTTCTTTGACCTCTGTTTGTTACGGCTGAATAAATATTTTAGTTTTTTTGGTTTTCTCCGAAATGACTGTATCTGAATAACTACATGCATACATGCATGCAAGTTTCTTTGTCCGTGAATGTGATTATTTCCTGCCATGTCAGTATGACTCTGGGCCCAGCTCTATAATGTGGTTTGCAGGATTTTGAATTTCCGGCCACGGATAGTGCGGTCTTCAGATTTGAATTGTACACTGTAGCTTAAACTAAAGCTACACCAAGTTTGGAGAAATATGCCGTGCGTCAGTCAAGATTAGCGCTCACACAGTCCATTTAGTTTTACTTTAAAACACCCCCCCCCCCCCCCCCCCCCATCCTCCCTAATGCAGAAAACGGAGAACCCCCTCAAAACCACTTGGAAACTACTCAAAACTGCTTATAACGACTGCTAGACACCAGATCCTAGGTGTAAGAAACAACACGATTTTTTGTTACGGAGGGTAAAGAAAGGTCTTGCACCTTCTCCACATTGAACCTGCTTACTACGGACACTTTTTATGGTCCCCTCGTGTCCGTATTGACGGTGTTAGAC